CAAACAAAGCACACCCCTTTTCTTAGCAACAGCTGTGCTTTGAGCTTTTAGGGAGGGTTAGGGTTAAAAAAAATAAAAAGAAGCACAAAGTCACTTGCTGTTTAATGTAGCTCTAGTCATGAGGACGAAAAGAGAATCGTGTCCTATCCAGACAAACTAATACTCAAGTTTTCACAGGTGAACCCCATGGAATCATTTGCCTCCAGATTGCTCAGTTTCTTCGCTTTCACAATCACTGCAAAAGGCTGGCTGTGGGCTTCTATGTTAAATGCCCTGTTACCACCATGCTAGTCGCTGTTGCCTTGCCTGGGGCCTTTCTTTGCCCCTGTCAGCACCCACAGAGGTTGTAGGAAGCCTTGAGAGGTGAGTTTTATGATCTGGTCCAACTTGTCAACATTGTGTCCTCCAATAGCCCTTGTTAAAATGTATTTTATTTTGTTTTTCATTTTCTATATACATTTTCTAAAACAACAAATGTATGACTTTTTAGGTAATGAAAATTTTTGTTAAATAATCAAGCTTACAAGACTGACCAGAGCAATAATTGGTATTGTCGGTTTTGCAATATTTGAGCTCCCTTAAGCAGGAAGCCATGCCTGTTAATCAGCACTGGACATTTAAATCCATTACAGAGAAGATGGGGTAAATGCACCAGATCTCACATAGGACAAAATACAGGACAGCTGCAGAAGTGATTATGTAAAGCAGCATGCCAGTGTGGTGCAGATGCTGAAGACACAGCTACAATTGCAAGGCTATATTAATGTTCTTTTCCTATCCATCCAAAAAAAAAAAAAAAAAAAAAAAGCTCATCAAGACTCACTAGACTAGAAATAAATATTCAACCTAGTTTTTAAATGTGATCAAAAGCTATCTAAAAACAAGTGTTTGCAGCACTTCAGCTCATCATTGAATTGATTCTCGTTTTCTCCTGTGGATGTGTTAGCCATTCAGCCAATTCATGTAAAAAACAGAAACGAAACAAAAAAAATACAGCAAATAATTAAAAAAAAAAAAAAACAAACAAAAAAAAAAACAACAGCTTTTAGTGTAATATACAGCGCAAACACGAACTACAACTTCCAAATCTTCCACTGAAATGAATCATCACCTGCATAAAACAATCAAAACCAATTCTTGATGCAATGCTCTATTAATATAAAATTTATTGCACTGCTGTGTTTGATGAGCTCTACTTTCTAACTCTGCTTGAGATCTCTTTGCTCAACATCATGGGACACAAGAAATCAAATCTGACGGGGGGGCGAGGGGGGACCACTGGGACATGTAGCTACTGCTTATGAATGTAAAACAAAAAAAGTCTGATGCACAATGGAAAATCAGTCCTGGAAAATAATAAGCAACTTGCATTAAAACTGGACAAAAGCACTCATTTGCAGTATAGATAAAGTATAGCAATATAACCTGAAAGGTTGCTCATCAAGCAAAAAACTACTGCCCCCAAAAAAGACAGACTACAATGTGTGACTCCACACAAAGAACATACTTTCAACTGGTTTGATGAAACAAAAACTTTACTGTCTGACCATAATGACCATCATTATATTTAAAGCACTAAAGATGACGCTTGCAACGCTATCCCAACCACAAAGCATGGTGGCGATATATTGCTGCAAGAGGGGCTGGTGTACTTCTTAAAGTAACACAGCACAATCCAACCAGCATAGCAAAGCAACAAACAGAAAAGCCTAAAAGAGATAACTACTGCCAATGAGAAGAAAGCATGAGACACACTGGAGAGTTTACTACCCCGTCCAGAGCATGAAGAGAACATAATGCCAGCAGACAAGCCTCACTCACTTGCAACGAAAGATACGTGTCAAACTTGTGTCAATTGTATGCTCTCTAACACACACATTCATTTCAAACAGTGAAAAAGTGCATGCATGGATGTGTACATTTGTACACATGAAACTACAGCACGGGAAATAAATATGTAATAATAATAATAATACTCATTTACTACATTCTTTGAAAGGAATCTAACCCTCAGATCATCATCTATTACTACAACCTAGGTGACCTCAAGAGAAAATGTTTACCAAGATTACATATCAGGAAAAACTGTTTAAATTTATTTGGCTTGACCGCCCTTACCTAGATGTTACAGGCTATACTAGCTTTTAATCCTGCAAGCTCAAACTACAGCCTGCAACCTGCTTCATTTCAAATGTTGATTGTCACTTGAACTGAAGTTTTTTTCCACCACAAAAGAACATTTCTAAAAGGCTGGACTTTGTCTTTTCATTTGCAGGTTACATGTTAGGGTGAAATGCACATTTCCTCTGTTGCCAAGTTGGAAACTTATGATCAGAGCTTTAAGTGACTGCTGGAAATTCATTTTAATGCACAGTTTAGAGCAGCTGACGCAGTTTCCTCAGTATCAGCGTTGACTAGATGGAGCAGAGGCATGGTGCATTATCGGGGAGGGATGCCAAATACTGGAGACGCATACAAGCAGACTGGGCTGTCAGAACTGCTCATGAAAACATTTATCATAAGGAAACAAACTTCACTGCAGTGACGCAAATATCAACTCCAGTGTCCTGTTATTAAAAATAGTGGTGATATAATTACTCAACTAGCCCACAGAAATATATCAATGTTGACATATAGTTAACCGTTCCCCCTTTAAAGACTTTAGCACGGCAAACTACCAGACATTCACTGATCATGACATCTCACATCTCTCGTTTTCAGCTGATGGCTATGTCACAATGTGAAAACTTTGGCCTTTATTAGGTTGTGACTGATACTGGCTTCACAACTGAGAGCATATTTATGTAAGAATCAATGATATTGAATGATTATTGACAGGCTTGTCAGCTGAAAACTGATTACAGACATAGGTTAAAACTTTTGCTGTGAAATCACACTCCAATCAGCCTCCCTGACAGTACCTGAAATACCTGGGTGATAAACACTGACTATTTTTTACTATTAGTAATGACACTGGAGGGGGTGTATTACGAAGCTTAACTCTTCAAGTCAAAGGTTTGTGTCATAAAAGTAGCTTCCTTTTTACCTGGCTAAATTACTGTGGTAACTCATGGTGAAAAAGTCTGCTTATGACCAGGCCATCTTCTGAGTTTTGGTTTAAAGTCAAAGTGCCAGGGTTCCACTGATTGTTTCATTTACAGCATGTCTTAAGCGCAATATAGATTATCTGCTAATAGGATTGTTATGCGCTGTTAAATTTCTGAATAAAGTGCAAACTGTGTGTCATATTGTCACTGAATATGCCCATGCATTAATTTGGTGATGGAGAAAATGTCTAAATATTGTTTTACTTGATTCTGATCTGCTGCCAAGTCTGATGATGAAATAAATAACTTGAATTAAACTGTTTTACTGTGCACTAAAAACCACCAAATTAACAGTTTTCTACTGTATTAATCTCTTGTTGCATTTTAGTATTATCTTTTTAATGTTCTGTTCTTTTTAGTTTTAATCCCCATTTTATCATCATCAAATGATAACATCTCTGACTGAAGTAAGTGTCACTCATAGGGGTCATTTTGTGTAGAAAAAGGGTCTAATGCCTCACGAATCACTGCTTTTCCGAGCACAGAGCATGAAGCAAAAAGCTCTGCTTAAGAGATAAAGTTAAGAACCACTGTTGTGATACCTGTTATCTCCAGCTGGGGTTTTAGGTTTTGTCCAGCCAGCTAATGCAAATAAAGCCTGGTTGTGTTGAACTTCATTTGCAGTATACCCCTCAGTACCACTTCCCGAGAGGGCCTCAGGGGTGTGGGAAAATCGTGGAGATCAGCAGAACACTATGACAAAGAGTGAACTGCACACTAAACTGACCCACCGGCTGGCAGCCCAACCCCAATAGATACTGAATGCATCCTCCCACCAATGCCAACAGAGCAAAAAAACAAACTGCACAACACCACACATGGCTGGAGCGAAGGAAAAAGCAGGGAAATACACTACAGACACACATAAGGCAAGAGTGAGCAAGCAACAAACCAAAAACCTAATTGATCAGTGCAGTCACTACCAGCAACTGTTGTGGAAAACAATGTAAACAGACCATACATACAGAACAATAATTCCAAGTACAGGCCAGCAGTTGGTGCCAGCCACTGTTGCCATCAGTGCAGTGGGGGAGGGGGGTGTCATATTTATTAAAAAAAAAAAAAAAAAAACTAGGGCTGGGCTTTCGCCTCCCTCTAGCTCTAGCCATGAGGGTATTTCATATCCCAACCTGGTGTAATAAGCTCCACTTCTATTCTGACTCCTTCCTTCTCTCCTTGCAGGTATGTGACATTCAGGTGGGAAGGTTTGATGCAATACAACAGCTCCACTTTTTGTTTTACTGCCAGAGAACATCATTTCAGAACAAAAACCTCTTTATTGTCCAGGCACGAAAACCACTGTCATGATGCAATGCAGAAATCAGTGATGGACACACGTGTCCATACATTGGGGTAGTTTTGGATACATCCATCGCTGCATTCTTGAAGGCTGTGACACAATGTTTAGTCAGCTGGTCCAACTTTTAGTTTAAGGTGACAACTGCCTTAGATAAGATGATTACTCTCCGAGCTAGGGTTTTGTCTAAATCCAGAGATTGTTTTAATAGGTGTAGGAGAGGTTTAGCTTTAAAGGCTTAGGGGTAATAGTGATGTTGAAAGGTGTACAGGGATCACTGGGTGACTGTTCCCTAGCACACAAACAGTAGAAGTCCTTCTCATCCAGTCCATAAGTAGTATTTTACAGTCTACAGAGAACTCCATTATCCATGCTGAGATCAGCAGTTTCCATCAAGATCTGATGTCCTTCATTAGTAACTGAATAACAGTTATTACCGAGCATCATCTACATAGGTCAGTGTTTTACCTAAACCGTGTAAAACACGTTTTCAGATCAACCGTATCAAGGGACTTTCACAAAAATGTTATGATTTTATTACTTTGAAGGTGAAAACAGTGCATTAACAGAATATAAAAGGTGGTTGTTTACTGTACCTGTCAGTGAAGCTGGGCTGTGTGTCACTCATTGGGCTTCCGGTTCTAGATTTGCAGCAAATTATATCCTATTAACATTTTCCAGAGTGTGATGAGGCGATTTCCTGGAGCGTCTTTCTCTGGCATTCGTCTGGAGTAGGCAGGGATTTTGAGAACGATGCTGGGAATCAGTTCACTGTGAAGGTTGCTGCAAGGCACCTCCAAACACCAGATGAGCCTAAGCTACAACCAGGACTTCTTGTTAAAATTAAATGACAGCAAAAAATCTACAGTGCAGATCATAAAAATCAATCGGGGCCTTGGTCGAATTAGCAGTCCTACCCCGTAATAAACAATATTTTGGCAACAATAATAAATATACTGGTGCAGCTGACACAAGTTGTCGTGTATGTACGAACTCCTCGTGTGTCTCCTTTGCATTCACATCCCAGTTTTCCGCCGATATGATGTATGTAAACAATGCGTATCCCAACGTTGCTGACACCTTGGCCCTGCGATGTAGTTCGTCTGCCAACACCCAGCTCGGCCGAATGGCCTCGGTGTCTAAATGATCGGTGAAGATGCTGGAAATTCCTCCAGTCCCATTAGGTATTCCCTGCTCCAAGAAATGCCTGTCTGTGGCTGTGGGGACGACTCTCCCGTGACCAGGAGAATCGCTCAATGCCGAGTTTAAACGACCCGTGTTAGAAATTAGCAAAACAACTGCAGCTAACGTCAAACCGCTTTGATTAAAAAGAAACGAACTGAGTTAAATGGTCATTTAAAAAAATCACATAGGTTTCCCCCCCAAAAAAATCCTTTCTCACTGCAAACTGGCAGTCGTTGAATCTCACCAGCTACCAGCTAACAAAACAGAAGAGCTCTTTCAGCAAAAAACTTTGCTTCGTGGGCTCTTGTTTCGAGTGCAAACTAAGCAAACTCCCGTTCACAACAATGAGCCGGCCAACGAGCGAAACATACATACACAAAAACCTCGTGTATTTTCACTGGCTTGCGATACGTCTTCGCGTTATGTCCTTCAAAAAGACTCCTTGAGGAAACAAAATGCAGCGGAGCCCGTTAGCACAGCACAGTGTCTCTTGACTCCATGTTCCAAAAGAAATCGTCAATTCTCGACAGAATTCCCGTGGATGGAAAGCAGGCTAGCTATGTGGCCGCCAGCTAACGGGAAAGAAAGTAACCACCGCTCCCGTGTAAACAACGACAAAAAAGCGTCGAGGGGCTTGAAACTTGTAGCGAACATTAAACGTTATTTTTCCCAACGTACAACGCTGTTTGTTCGAGAGAATAACTTGAGGAAAGGTACCAAAAAAAAATCCCACTTTCTGCCGCTAGCAACGCCCTAGCTAGCAGTTGGGAGAGACTAACCACTTCCTGCCGCCGGGGAGAATTTATTTCAGCATAATATCAGGGACCACTACTGAAAAACGAGTAACAACGACAGCAAGCACTACTACTACTACTGGTAACAGTAATACTAAACATGTATAATTTATTCGTGTATGATGCAACTATAGTAGGCTGTGAATATAACAAGCAGCGCCTCAATGGCGTGTGCAGCTGGCAGGGATATTAAATAATGGCCACTGGGCCAAAAAATTGTTATAATTTGATCATTTTTAAATGTATAGACACGAATATCTTCATGTTAGTCAGTCTCCTTCTCAATAGTGCTTCAAGTAACTGTGTGTGCCGTAAAAGTCAAATATGGATGCAAAAGGCACTCATGAAACTGACACAATAAATTATTCATGCATTTCATGAATAAGTGTTGAACCTTCCAGTCCAAGAGTCATTTATACGACTCCAGTTTTTGTGCATGTGATATTACTGGAAGCAAAACCAACCATCAAATGAAAATGATAAAAAAAAAACTTCATCTGTCCCATTAAGGTTGTGGTGAGTCATATTTATCAATGCAAAGTACATAATTTTATCTTTCTTAATAAACACATTCCCGTCTGGCTTGTACTCTAACCTTTTTCTCACACAACTACCTTGCTTAAATACACAACTACTGCGCTACTGTGTGATTGCTGTGCTGACCATTGCAGTCACACATTACTGCATTTCTGGCACCCTACATTATACTGTAAATACGACAATAAATAAGGCACATTGTATATTACACACAGCATAACACACACCTATCTCCACTTTGCATTGGTAAAGACTGAAAACTGGTCCAAAACGACCGAATTTATGCTAAAATGAGAAAAAACCAAAAAGTTACACATGGATTTAATGTAAGTTGCTGATGCTTTGTGTTTAAAATAAAAAGTGCTTTTCTTCCCTTTTCATTGCTATTTTAGAATTGCAGAAAGACCACATCTTTCCTCTCTCATCATTCATAAATAATTGATATGACACCATCATGTGGACAGCTTAGGTAACTTCACTCTCAGTCGACTAATTCATCTCGAGTTTCGCTAGGCTTGACTAGAACACAGTTGATATTTCAGTTTAGTTGTAAATTTGCTGTTTAGTGAATGCAAACAACATGTCAAGTTTATTTTATTTCACTTTACACAGGGATTACAAAGGTGAACGATGAAACGCCGACCCAAAATGGCTCTTGTGACGCCGCCTCCTGCGTTGAATGAGTTTACAGTGCATGAGAAAGGATAAAAACACATTAGGAAGGTACATTCAGATAACTAAGGCACACACTAGTTAGGTTTTGTACTTTCTTGTATGTATTGGTGATGCACACAGAGACTTCTCTCAGTGCCAGTCAGGTGAACAGACATAGGAAACAAACAGATGGCATGTTTTTAACCTATTGCGACAAAAACATATTCTCACAATTAAGACAAGAATGCACATAAAAATCTGGGCTCAGTCAATATAGTCCCTTAATATAAAAACTTCCTGTCTTCATCCCAGTAGCACATTTTTTATTAAGGCAAACATTGTATAACATGTTTATTTCAAAATGGTTTATTTTAAAAAAAAGACCTTTTGAAAGACTTGCACAATGTACAGATAGCTCAGAATGAATTTAATCAAAGCTTGGACAATTTCTGACAAGATCTCTGTGAGACTGAAACATTCAACAAACAGCTTATTAAATTAAATTAGCTGGGAGCTATCAGTGCAGAGCACAGATCTTGTCTAAATGATTACTCACGCGCGACCACCCTCACACATCTGGTACAATAAAGTTGACAAGGGTTACCATTTCAGAAAACATGAGAATGTATTTATAGTTTACAATTTACACTAAAAAGAACACATTTAGAATTTAATAGACTCAATAAAACTGTAACATAGAGCTTTAAAGGAGGGATGCAAAATAAATAGAAATTTGATTAAACACATCAAACACACTTCAATCTTTCTGATATTACTTAATTTCCCTGAGTACCGATCCTAGTCTGTTGACATCACTAAAAGTGTTTCACAAGGACTACAACATTACATGTAAACTTTTTCTTTTCTAGTAGGGAACTTCCTTTTGGAGCCACACTGCCACACATTACTAGGTCACAGTTAACGGCAACTGTTCTTCCCACAGGTTTTCTTTGTGTGTTTATACAACATGCTTTGGTTTTCAGTGATATAAACTGCGTCAGTGCTGTTTGCACCTTTTATGCATGTTCAGCTCCAAAATCCACAAACCTTACAAAAAGAAGCCTTAGCATTTTTTTTAATTTAAAAATCCCTTTTTCTAAAATCACACTTCAACATGGAGAAAGTTGCTTTCCATGTACTTTCCATCAAGTGTCCAAAGCGAAGAGCAGAGAAATGACATAAATTGATTCCCTTCTGATGCCGATCACTCCTTCTTTCCTTCATGACCATTAGCTGCTAAAAGCTCTTGGCGGTCTCTCTGGTGTTTGTGCCAGCTTTTGCTCTTCCGGATGGCAAATCGAACAATGTCTACCATAAAGACCCAGGAAAGGGCGTACATGGCCACTCCGCCACACTTGATAAAGAATCTCGGCCTGGGGGAGATCAGCTCACAGTACAGCATTGTGCCTCCCACGAAGATTCGCATCACCACAAACAGCAGCACAAACAGGACGTCCACAACGTCCCCCAGCAGAGTCCCGTAACGTCCAGTCTGCTTGAGGAACCAGCGCGCCTGCAAGAGAGGGTTGGTGATTTCACTGCCAAAGAGCACCGCGCACGACTCGATGCCAGACTCCCCCAACCAAAGGGTCAACAGGATTCCCAGGATGCTCATGGTGTGGTGGGCCAGCATAACTGGTCCCTCTGTACGGAAGTACACACACCAGGCCATGTCAAAAATAAAATAGCCCAGACTCAGGACCATTGCACTTATCTGCAGAGGGGTGTTCTTTGTACCTGGCATCCACAGACAAAAAAAGACCGGCTTTAGTTAGCTTCTTATCGAAACAGATAAAACAAGTTATTACTGTGAAATGAGCACATAGTTGTTTATATTGGCGTGTAACAAAAACAGCTCTTGAGAACTTTTTGTCTTTGTGTCTAAAGATTTTTCAGCACCTTACAAAAAGTTTCCACTGGTAGTTAGAGCTCAACTGTGCTAACTAGTTTAGATGCCTCATGTCTGCATCAATTTTCAAAGAAAAAGCAGCAGATGTTACAGTGAAAACTAATAGATGAACCTCAACAGTAATGTCACATTAATGCATAAGAGGATATAATATTAAGTCTGTGAGCTGCTTAAAATCTATGCTGTGTCTCTGCATCCTTGCTGTCTTTTTAGGTTTTAATGTGCACACAAAATCTTGACAAGCTGCATCCCCTACCTGGATAAGTAAAAGGCCAAGGTCCATCTACATAGCCTATGTACGCTGTGATGCAGACTGCCAGGATCCCGTGCACCAGCGTGACGAGTCGACAGTTCCATTCGTAGCTCCTGGATCCGTTAACGTTACACAGGACAAAGTAGAAAGACACCCAGCAGGATAGGCACAGGAGAGCACAAACGACAAGCACAGCCATCTTCCCCTCTGAAGGTAAGTCAAACAAAGAAAAGCAGCAAATTACAGCTAAACAAACTTCTCAGCAGTCATCAAGCCAACTCTGACTCACATTACATGGCGAGAGAAAAATGCAAGGAGGAACTTCTTGCTCTGTAATATCACTTACAGTAGAAAAAGAAAGAATCACCGTCCAGAGATTTGAACTGTGCACTCTTTGTGAGGGAGCAACAATTAGCCTTTGCTTGAACTATAATAGTACTATAGTAGGCCGGCTGAGGGTCTGGTGGGGTGAGGGGGACGTCTCTTCTTCTGCTGTGACGTTTGTACTAGGAGGTGAGACCATGCAGACAGATGAGCCCACCCTCAGTGAACTGGAACAAGATGTACACTTGATTCTTAAAGATTCAAGCTAGTTTCAAAACTGGCAGAGAGGTTACTGGGTGCTGGGTCTCAGACAGTTCCCGAGAGGGACAAAGGCTCTTTCTTCCTTATTATTTGACATCTGCACTAATAAGCAAACAAAAAATGTCCCGTTGCTATCTTCGTTGTTATGCTTGTGATGTCCACATGCCAGCCAAATAAACTAAAAGATATTCAGTTACTACAACACACATATAAGAGCAATAAATTACTATATTTAAGAGGTGGGACACTGAACCGTTTCAGATTTTCTGCTTGAAAATGAATATGTTAATAAATTAATTCATCTGTTTATGGACTCCGCTGCAAATCATTTTACAGATTCACTTGTACTATGGATAAAAAGGATGCACCTAAGGATGATATGAAGACTAGGCTTGAATTTATAGTCTTAGAAAACCTGCATGTTCATCTGAAAACGCACAATAAAGTAGGGAGAAAAAATCACGAGCAAACAAAGGAAACATCTGAGATCTGAATATGCAATGACAAAATTTTGTAATGACATAAAATAAAACTAGTAAGTCTTGAACGATTCCACATTTCTCTATATTTATCTTCCAAGAAGCCAGACTTTCTGGTTTTGAGTGATCGTTCTCCATGCTTTATAAAGGGTTTTGAAAGTTTTTCAGTCCAGTCCTTTGACCTGACCATTTTCTTGGGAATGTTTTTTTTTAATTCAAGGCTAACTCCAGGAATAAACAAGTATTATGCCTACATAATAGAAAATCCATTTTAAATTGTGCCTTGTGCACTCTGTTAGTAGCAGACAGTCACAAAACTGTTCTCTTTTTTGAATCTATAAAAAAAATGCCACAGATAATACACTTTAACGTGCATAAAATAGTATTTTTGCACCAATACAGTTATTCCAAAAACAACTAGAGGATGGAAAGATGGCATATCTTAGTACAGCATGCAGTGTGTCATTAAAAGATCTGAGGAACCTGGACAAGAGGAGAACAAAAGCAGAAGTGGCAGGCCGAAAAAAAAACCTATCTGTAATACATGAACAATATTTGAAAGTCGTGTCCTTAAGAAATAAGAAAAAAATCCAGCAAGGATGTGACACAAGTCCTAAGAGATGCGTCTGGCCCAGACAATTCATCAGTTGATCCATCTACTTTTCACTGGAGACTCATCAGAAATGGTCTCAGTGGAAGGGTGGCTGTCAAGAAGCCATTCTTAATCAACAGATAACAATGTAAAAATTGTAAATTGTAAAAATTGATGGAATTATAAACACAGAGAAGTACACTCAGATTTTAATCCTCCATGCAGCCCAATGTGGAAAGCATCTGATTTGCAGCTGCTTTGTTTTTCAGCATGACAATGATCCCAAACACTGCCAATGCAGTAAAGACATACCTGGATAGAAAAAACACATATTGGAACACTATCATTCATGGATTGGCCTCCCCAGAGCCCGGACCTCAACATTACTGAAGCAGTGTGAGATCATCTTGACAGAGAACAGAACAAAAGTCATCCAACATCCAAAAAAGACTACTTAAACTTTTAAAAAAATGAAAAGAAAGCTTACCTAAGAGAGTTCAGGCAAAGCTAAGGAATAACGATTGTTGCCAAATATTGACTTTCAGGCGCTTTAGAATTGTACAAAGTCTGTTTTTGCCTTATTACACTGCATTCCCATGTATGTTTGCACATGTTTCAATATATGCTCATTTTACTAGCAAAATATAAAGAAATGAGTGGTGACTCAAGACTTCTGTAGAGTACACACAAGAAAACACCAGGTAACTGAACAACTACCTTTATGTTTATTATTTGTTTTTCTTCATTACAGCATGCCCTGTGTATGATGCTGCAGGCTTTCCTAGGATAAGGGTGAGACACCTGAGCTATGTTTACTCTTATAATGGATGCAGATTTGAGCTGTTTTAAGGTAAAAACTAATAGCGTAATAATTGTGTTCCCACGCAAACCAATGAAAGGACGGGAACTGGCAACCAGAGCCCACGAACAAATGAAGAAATTTCTTCATTTGTTCGTGGGCCAGTTTATTGATGGTGACAGCAAAAGCAGCTGTTGCTAACAATGTGAAAGGGCAGCAGCAGAGCAGGGCCATAGCTCATCCCTTAGCCGAGGGGATGCTATCATAACAGGCTAACTCTGCACTGGTACTATTAGATGGATCAGGGAGCAAGCTAACCGCTAGCAAGCTAACAAAGCCTTGTTTTATGGGGTTACAACACGTTTATAAATGCGGTGAAATATAATTACCTTGACGGTTCACATGTGGCTGTCTCTCTGTTTACATCCTGGCTGTTTTGAGTCCTCTGAAGCAAATATATGCTCGTAGAAGACCGAGGCAGGTTTGTTTGGATACACACTTTGCTGTCCTTTAACTGAACGGCACCGGGTAGCAGCAACAGCAGCCTCCTTCAGCATCCTTTGTATCCCATTACAAGTGGCTGCATTTGCATGCTCTGCTCCTATTAACTTGCTAGCACTACAAAGTGTATTGCATCCTGCTTATATTATCTCGTGCAATACCATAATTAGAGATTAAAGTAGATTTATGCAATATTTTGTAGGAAAAGCGTGCTTTCATCCTTGATGTAGCGATGGCAGGCTCTTTTTCTTTCGGAGCAGGGGCGACACCGTGTGGGAAATGGTGGAAATTACAACCTTGATCGAAAGACTGGCATAACACACCTGAGTGCAAAACAGGACAATTTATTGGAGCACCCAGAAGCAGATGACTATGCAAAGAATCTAAACTGTATATCTCTTAATTCCCATACACCGATTCCTTTGCCCCCCCCCAAACACACACACACACACACACACACGCACGCACACGCACGCACCATATAAGGCTTAATAAAATTACTCCAATATACCACAAATAACTTCCAAGCTGTCCATGCAGTGCAAAGAAGGACTTTATTAAAACAATTTATGTAAAACAGCTCTTAAAAATTGTACTTAACCAAATTGCTTCATTTTTTTTCCCCTTACGGCAGCTTTTTTTAATTACAACATATTAAAAACTCTTTCATAGAAAAAAAAAATATGTTTAACAATGTAATCTACAATTACATAGCAAAAACATCAGTAAAATGTTAAGGCACTTGATCACCAGAGAAGGCCACAAATAGGTGTGTTTCACTCATTTGGTTCTTCAGTTAGCAGGACATACCAGCACACTAAAAACTCTTTTTTCCTCTTTTTTCTTTGCGTTATGGCAGTAAAAAGGCTGAAGTTATTGAGGAAAAGCAGTCTTTTCTTTAACCTAGTACTATAAAGAACAGACAGACAAGTTAAATTTGGTCCCACAAATTTAAGAAGTGCTCCTTGAATTACACGTAAATTATCGGGGGCAGATATGAGATGCATAAATTATAGCAGGCAAAGCCGGAAACCAAGAACCAGAATTCTGGCAGCGCGCATAAAAGTCTAAAAATGCTGGTTAACCAGAAGATGGCAGTGTGGATCATTAAAGCGCCTGTTGCTTGAATGGATCCTCACATTGGGGAGGAAAAACAAAACAAAAAAAAAACACCACCATACCGAAGAGCTTGTGTCCAGAAACTGAAACTTTAAACGGCTCCTTTCACAGCATTTCTTTGACTTTGGTTTGACACTTTTTAAGCAGACTGAGAGGGGTGCGAGTTGTGGGCAGGAGGTGTCCCCATGGGTAATGACAGGGCAACTCGGGATAAATCTTCATTATTAAATAGGATAATATGCCTGTTTTTCTACACCGTCTATACAAGAATGAAAACAGGCAGTATATAAGCAAAACAGGATATGGATGAGAAACAACAGCCAAGAGGTTAACCTGAAATATGTTCGAATACTTTGTGTTACTGAGGCTCTGTGGTTTAAGACGAACTTCAGAAACTAACTTAAACTTAATGCCTACAGGGAAGCAAACAGATGAGGTTATTATATTAAAAAGATTTTTTTTTAATGATAGTCCTCCATAATTTCACTTTGCAACCAAAATAAATAAAGATAGCATTGGAGAGGTTTTGTTTTTTCTTTGTAAGCATGCTTACATGGTAAAAAAAAACAGCATTTAGCTGGTAATAAACTGTTTTCACAGAGCTTTATAAGACAGATAATTCCAACATTCAAATTTTCCTTCACCAGGATGGAAGAATTTGTTTGTCTACCTCCTTTTGACTGAGAGTGGGACAGTGTTGTTCCTCTGCCGGTGTATGACTGTCCATCTTTTGTGCATACCATAGCTTGTTTGAGAGGTTTTGTTTAATTTGCCCCACTCACTTTCCCCAAAAAGGCACAAAAGTGACAGCTTCTTGGCAAAAGAAAAGAAAAGAAAAGAAAAAAACAAAAAAAAATTTATATATATATATATATATTATATATATATATTATATATTTATATATTATATATATATAATCTTAGTTAAATAATATATATATATATATATATATATATAATTATATATATATATATATATATATAATATATAGTATATATATATATATTATATATATATCATTTTTCCCCAGAAACATTAGTGAAAAATTAGTAACTTTGCTGCATCTCCCTTAAAAGCTTTTGGTCTCATCTGGAACCTGAATTTATTTCTACTTCAACGTGAATGTCTGGATGTCGGCCCTCCCCACCTGACACAGCTTCACTTCACATGATATAAACCAAGGTCCAGTGTTGCTGTGGTTAGCATGGGTGGAGAAGCATTGGCTGGGCTGGCAAAAAAGAAAAAGAAGTCTTCTCGTTCCTTAAACATCCACAACAAAACTCTAGGTCTCCTCGTCCCAGAGGCAGAGCTGTTTTTGGGGAACATAGTACGTGAAATGGTATCCTTTGCTGCAGCTCTTGATGCCACACTTGTAGGTGGAGCCCTTGCCTGTTGCGTCCCGGCTGCGGCAGTACTTCAGCAGACACGGGTACCACTCCAGCCGCAGGGTGTACGTGCAGAGACATGGCTGCCACAAGTCTTTAGTAGCATGACAGGCCTGAAAGCTGGGTAGCTCTGTTGCTTGGGGCAGAACCTCAAATATGGAGCCGTCCACTCCTGTAAAACAAACAGATAGGGAAGCATGTGGCAGTTAAAAACAAAAAGCAAGCAGTCGCGCGTCTGCGCCGATCGCTCCCTTTTCTGATTCCGCTCAATTAAATGCGGCTGTGATCTAGAGAGCGCAAACAAAGTGGCATAAAACAGGCGAGATGCTGCAGTGAAAGGGCAGCTTTGTTATGCTAAGGAGACGCTACGATAGGTCCCTGTGCAGATAACGGCGCAGAGCGCTCGGTGAACCGTGACCATCAACATTGTTTTCTTAATAACAAAGCTGTCAGCTGACAATAGTGCTGTCGTATGAATTCTCCTCAGCTCGAATAATTTGGATTTCGCTGCTATAAAGAATCTGCATCTCGCTGCAAACTGCTTTTTTGAAAACAAATGGTTAAATAATGGGCTGAACCTCTCCGATAAACAAAATTAATCTGCATGCACACACATGCCGTTTCACCCTATTTCATAGTGTGCAAGAAGGCAGTTTGGAGAGCAAAGAGCGAAAGAGGAGAGGAACCAAGATAACATGCACAGTCACACAGTCTTATCATTGAAACCCCACAAGATAATACTTGAAGTCATATCACTAGAATTAAGTGGAAAGAGGTGTCTTGAAGAGAGAAACAGGGAAGATAGTGTTGAGGAGATTAGGAGAATCAGTTCAGAGACGTATGCAGAATTAAAGAGACAATCAGGAGAGGAGAAAGAAAAGGTGGGGGGGGGGCGTACAAAAACACCAGCAGAGTTTATGTGAGGTTCAATAATAAACAAAAATCAGATGGCCGCTGACCTTTTTCCAGCCAGTATTTCACATCTGCCTCACTGGTGTAGATGGCCTCGCGAGCCTCGCTACACATGTTGTGGATGTGGGCGCTGAGGTGCCAGGCCCGACTTAGATTGACCGCTGCGCTCATAGTCAGCTGCTCCAGGCCTCTCCGCTCCTCTGCCAAACGAATGGCCTGGGGATTTTTCTGGGAAAGACGTAATATCCTCAGATTCTCCACAGTATATAATCAGCTGAAAAATCTCCATAGCACAATCTCCACCGTGTCATACCTGCCTGAGACGGGCCATGGACTCGCTGGGGATGATCTCATTGCGGTTGAGGCGGGACACGAAGCACAGGGCTTGGTACTGGTTCTGCCCTCGTTCCAGCTCGCCCAGGATCAGCGCTCGGAATATTTTCACATCCTGAAAAAGCCAAAGGGATGAGAAATGAAAAGGCTGAACAGATGACTCCCGGAAAGTATCGGGAATAGTCGTCGAGGCAAGGTTATGATAAGTTGTTGTTTATATGAGGAGAATCATCCAAATTAGAACACATACTGTTTCCATTACGGTATTTAAAGCAGTTCAATGATGTCCAAACAGCTGTCTACTCAAAGAAACAAAGGGTTTATATTCACCTCACCCATAAAGGCTCACATGACAGCTTGTTGATACTTTTTGTCTGCAGACCTGTGCAATGAGGCTCCTATAATACTGTAGTATTCTGCTGTGTCAAATTAAACCTTTCCAGCCTGTTTCTTGTCAGACCTACTAGAATTTCTCACATGCCAAAAATGTCAGACTCAATTTAGCATGCTGTTTAAAGTAGAACTGTACTACTAGCAAAATGTCAATAGTGAGAATTTTCACTCACACACTCACACACTCACTCACACTCACACGTCGGCAAATGTGCGAGCGATCTGGCACCAAACCAAAAGGCCATAAAGAGTTTGGTGAGGGGCAAGGCAAAGCATGATGGGAAGCTTCGAGAGTTTGGAGAGCAGAGGAGTAGACCTGTCCTCCTATTCATTAGAACCCCACTCCAAACCCCCTCCTCCTTGGCTTCAGCTCCAACACAGACACACACAGTCCTAAATACCCCTCCTCCGCTTTTCACACACCCGTCTGAAGCAAACAGGCAGCTGAGGAGTAACAGTTTGAAGGCTTTCACTCCCTGAGCAGGAGGAACTCTGGAATAGATAAACAGCTCCGAGATAACCCCACTGAGTTCTTCCACTTCCTGTATGGAGAAGAGTACACCCTGGCAAGAAGGCAATGCATTCTGCCTCACAAGTGTTTACGCTCTGCAGTCCTTTACAGACTGCTTGGATCTTCACTCCAACAGCCACTTTTGTCTGTGAAAAGAGACACTGGCAAGGGTACAATAGCAGCACGGGTATTACACAAGGCAATCCTGTTTGACCCCTGGAAAGAAATTTACTAAGCAAATATTGATTATATAGCTTTATGTGCTGTTCACATGGTACTCAGAGGAACACAGAAATGAGCCAGTGGAAATTATATGCCTCAGCTTTTTCCTGCAGACACAAAACAATAAGATAATGTCAAAGAGCGGAGGAAGAGATATCACAGCGAAAAGAGTGAGTACAATGCCTACAGCGAGAAGGACAAGAGGGCCATTTGCCCCAGAGTGCAGGAGTAAGCAGAGGCCATGACTTCAAGACCTCCCATGCTGCAGACACATAGTGCTACGCTGGGACACCGGGTGGGGAGAAGAGAGGGAGGGAGGGACAGAAAGAAGAGGAAGGTATTCGTGTCAGCCACATGGATTTGCCCCAGGGCTCTCTGGGTAATTACAGAGCAGCATGGCAGTTCCACTAGCTCTGCTTCTCTGGAAGCGACTCAACAGCAAAGCGAAGACACTGATCCCCTCCTGTTGTGTCATTATGTCTCGTGATTAATGATTGTCTAATTTCTACTCTGCGTCTAGGCCAAAAGGGCAAAGGTAGTTTAACAGTGCTTACTGTGGCAACGATTTTTATTGATGCAATTTTGTATCAAAATGACATCATCTGCACACCATGGAAAGTCTTACGGGCACAGTTTGACAGTTTGAGCACTGACAGCAATCTTCTCTCGAAGAGGTTGGGAGAAGAAAAACAAAAACACAACCTCAAGACTGTTATGTACGTATAAAAATGCAACAAGCAGTCAAGTGGCATACTTAGGATCACATTTTAGCAGTTACAGAAAGAATCTTTAAGAACAAAAAAGCACTACCAGAGTAAAGTGAGCATGCATTTATGGGATCAAATATTTAGAAGACCACAGAAGAACTGAAGATGAAGAAGGGGAGCTGCTAATGAAAGTACCACACAAGCTATCGGGCAGTCATGGTGTTGAAAAATTGGGAGCACAGATTGGGAGCTGTGGCAAGTCGACAGGGTGAAATATTACAGGGGGTACTAAGGGTAACATCCATTCCCATTGTTATGTCTCATTATGGCAAAGTAAACAAACAATAATGATGAAATACCAAAAGGTATGTGTTTTACTGCCTAGTTTTATTGTTTTGGCTAAGTTTTTGGACTTACATTACCTAATTAGGAAGCAAACAGGCAGCGATCAGGTTCCAGAAAATAATTTCCCCAGAAGCAGCTTCTGGCTACACGTAGCTAGAATTAGCATCGGATCAGTTTTGACCTAAGACATGTCAAGCTGTGCAGAGCAAATGAGAAGGTCAGGATGGCAGGAAAATCCCCTTAATTATAGAAAAAAACAAAAACAAAAAAAAAAACATACAAACCCCCCCCAAAAAACAACCCTCCTCCTGGAGATTGAATGCTTCACTTCTGAAGAGCTCCTGAAATGATTTGAAGCCATGCCAAGGACAGAGCAAAGCTGCACAACAAACATTAAGCACGCTCATGATGTATTACTGGGGTAGCGCAGACTATTCTAGGATGTGGCAGCATTATGCTTCAGGTAAACTCCAAAAAAAAAATGGCTGCACCAGATGTGAGAGCAGAGTTTGTGTGCACCACACCCACCATTCAAACTACAGAAAATTACTCTAGTACTGGCATTTTGCCAGTAGACTACTGGCATTTTGCCAGTAGACTACTGGCTGGTGGTACTTAAGAGTTTACAGTAGTCTATAGATTTCCATTTATCCGTGTTACACAATTTGAGTTAAAATATAGAAATTAAAACCCTGAAGATCAGATGTTGAATATAAAACCATACCTGCAAATATTAACCAAAGAGATACTTTCACCTGCATACCTGCTTTAGAACTTTTTCATTGCGCAAAGAACCGCTCCAGCTGGTCTGTGGATTCAAACCGGACACTTTCTTGCTATGACCTGGACGATGCTAACCATTGCCCCTCATAAATATATATTTGTCTTAGCATTTTAGTGTTTAGAGGATATAACTTGTCCGTAAGTGTATAACGGCTGGCCCTCCCTCAACCTAGTTCTACTGGAGGTTTCTTCCTGTTAGAAGAGTTTTTCCTCCCCACTGTAACCAAAGTGCTTGCTAATTGGGAGCCATCTGATTGTTGGGGTTTTCTGCTTTATTCTACATATTTGTAGCAACTTTACCTTACAATTTAAAGCGCCTCGAGGTGACTGTTGTTGTGTTTTGCTGCTATATGAAAAACTGAACTGCACTGAATTGAACTTTTACAGTTTCTGGATGGTGATATTTCTTTTATCTTTATCTTCTGACAGGCCAAGATGTTTTGTAGTCTTCATATTCAGCTGGCAGCATTGGTATATTTTGTGCGCAGTCATGTAGTGAGAGTAGTTAAAATTTAATTACGACCTTTGAATGACAACACCAAACCAGTGCTGAGGACATGTCAGCTCAGGTCACGCTCGAGTAAAATTTCACTGACATTCTGACAGCAAACAGAGTAAAATAGTTATATCATCTTTGCTGCCCGCCAGAAAAAACCACCACCGTTTGGGATGTGTGCAGACGCACTCCAAAGCGTGATAAAGAAAACACAATAAAGGAGTGAAACGTGAAGTGATTAAAGTAAGGTTTACACCTGTTGTTATGATGACAGGCAATATCACTAGGAGAGAGTGCGCACTCATCTTACTGATCAAACAACAGCTATCTCTTTTTACAATCTCCCAAGCGGGAAGGTGTTTTTAAAGTCGCCGAATTATGCAAACAGAGGACTGACAGAAGATCAAACAAATATGAGACGGGGAGGAAAGGCGCTTCTGTGGTCACAGTATGGGGTAATCCCTTCCTGTTGTAACAAAACCTGCTTCATTCGTGTGATGGATTATAGAGAAAGACTTCGTCAGTTCCTGATAAAATACACCACACTGCCAAAAAGTAGACAAAATAATTGCCTGGGATGCATATGGCAAGAAAAACAGTAATGCTGGAATCGAGTAGACTTGCTAGAGCTTGAAAGCACCCCTTAATTTCAAAATACTCCCTAAAGAGGAGGTGCCCACATTTGGAAAATGAGTCACCCCCCTTAAAGAGTGTTTACACCTAGAAAAAAAAAAATTAGAGTAATAACTTGCTGACCAACATTACAGAAAATAACCACCTTCGGACATTACGAATTAAAAAGGCAACCTTATTCCCATCTTTAAAAAGACTGGCGATACCATAATCAAAGGGCAGCGTATCCTTGAGTTTTTTTTTACTCTAGCAGAGCAGCGTAAATGTCAGGGTGGCTATAAATAATCCACACAAGTGCAAATTCCTTAACATTGCTCGCTTACACATAGGACTTAGTCCATATGCAGACAAACTACCACTGGCCAACAGCCAAACAAGTCTGTATTCATGCAACATAACTGGTGGGTCAAACGAAGACCTGTTAATCAGGAGAGAGGGTGGGGGCTCGTTTCATTGGTGGTTACCTTTGGTGGGTCAGATTATTTAAGAGGTGCACAAAAGCCCATTCAGACACTCAAAGGGTGCCATTTACAGTGAACATTCTCAGACACTGTAACCCAGCAAGACAAACTCCGTTTCCTTGCAGAGTATATACCTGGTTTACAGGCTGTTAAAATAGGAGCCCAGCAATGAAAAGCAGTCCAAACGCTCATGGGAACATTGCACCTGCACTTGCAAGAGATATATGTATCTCAGTTTGAGTGCCATTGTGGCTGAACCGATTCACACTCGATGCAAGGATGGATATTCACGCACAAGTGCACCCACACACACGCACACAAACAGTACAGCAGTATGTGTTCCCTGTGCAGGGGGTTCTTCCTGTTTTCAAATCCCCCCTAAGACCCTGTCTGTTGATAAGGCTGATGGCTGGCTGTGGAGGACTGCTGGTAAGCCACGCTATGATGAGTCATTTGGGATCAGTGTGGGTCTGTGTGGATATTTGCCTGACATAGGACCAAAAAGTTTATGTAATACTTTAAAAAAATGAACAAATAAGATTAAAGTCAAGCTTGTATACTATC